GATGGCAAATATTATAATGCGTTTTCCTTGGGTAACATTGTCCCAAAGCATACTGCGTGGGAACCTAGTAACTTCATACTGCACACACAGGAACATGTGTGTGCATGTGTGTGTCCGTGTGACTGTGAATTAGGCTTCACTAAAGAACTGGGGTGCTGAGAAGTAATGAGGGTTTAATGGAAGTTTTCGGGGAAGGTATAACATTGTAACTCGGGAGAACACAGTGACTTCAGGGGGAATGTGCAGTGCGGTGGAGGGGACAGAAAGGAACCCCCCCCCACAGGGGCGGTTACTCAGGAGGCTGCAGGAGTTGCCGGGGCGACAGGTACCAGGAAAGAGACGGAAGCAGGGTGGTGGGAACAGGAACGCAGCGTGAGATCAGACTCCCCGGTGGCGGCTCCGGGCGTCCTGTGCACTGAACGCCAGCTGAGTTCGGGAGGCAGGGAGAGCGAGGAAGCGTTTTCCTGTTTATCTTCGCAGCTCTCACCCCTCGTCTGCTGTCTTCACCTGTATATGAATTCTGTTAGAGCAGTTAACCCATCTCTAATTGCCTAGATGTCCACTGAGCTCTAGAACATAATTATATATATAATATATATCATTCATATCATTGAGGTTTAATTATACGTATTTATTCAGTGAGGTGTAATAATATTTATATAGACACATACATATACATACATCTGTATCACTTAGAATAGAAGGTGAAGGATTGTTTGGTATTGTTACCATTTTATTATTAAGATGATTCAATCATTACATCATTAGCTCTCACGATATCAATAGCTGTCGTGAACTAGTGAGGAAAGAATAGTTTTGATTGGAACCTAAAAAAAGGAGACTTCTGAGTAAAATTATTTTTCATAAAATATTAAGACTGTTTTTCTGACATGTTTAAGAGGAAAGGAAAATAAAACTGTTTTGCTCTAGAATTCAGGAAACAATTCTCTTTTTGAGCATTTCATTAGTACGAAACATTTAAAAGCATTGCACCAGTACAATAAGACAAGAATTCAAACAGTTTGAAGAACAGAACAATGTTTTTTATACTCAATGTTGCTGAAGTGAAATAAATCTGCTTTACAGCGTATTTGGCCACTTTCACACTGGGTTGGACTCTGTATATGGAGCGGGCAGTCTCATATTTAGGCCTTGGGAAACCAAGTGGCTTGCGAAGGTTCACTGAAGTCTATTCGCAGCCATGTAGCGGCCGTGTGGGCCGCAACCCTAGAACAGGCAAAGGTGCCGATGCATGCATGTACGTGTTGGTGACACACATGCACACACATGCACTGCCCCCGATGAGTTGTTTTGATTCCAGCAATAGGATCAGAACAAAACTCGGTGCTTAGAGATGATCTTTTGTCCTCTAAGAAGAGGAAGCAGTTTTCACAGACATCAGCCTACTCACGCCCAGGAACCGTGTGATAAGAAAACAGTCTGTGAGACTTTTATAACACCATTTGTGCAGTTGGTCTCTATCACAGACTTGTCCTGGTATACTAAAAACAAAAATGATCAATTTTAAAATTTTACCCTGGTTTGAATTTCTGTTTAAAAGCTTTTTTTTCAAAGGATATTTGATTTCTGCAAATCAACCTGGATTGGTTGAGTACACTTTCCACTGCCGTTTATTGCCATCTGAAGGGCTGTTACCTAGCAACCACATTGCAGAAACTTCTAGTACTTTATATCAAACAGGAGCTCAGAAAACTCGGTGAGGCAGACTTTAAAAAAAATCTGACTTATTTAAGTGTAATTAACAATTTTATTTTTCATAAAGCCAAAAGGACTAGAAAATAGATTTGATTCATATCCATCTATGAATTTGTATCCTTAATTATACTTGCTTATTTTAAAAGCTCTTAAAAACAATAAAAAATGACAATAATAAAGAAACCAAGGACCTCACCCAATTCTGTTACTCTAACATTCTTATCTCTTAAGAACTGTTTCCTACCTTTCAGGTAGTTATAATTAATAGTATGATTTTTGATTTTACAGACACTTATTTGTGCTTATTGGACATACATGTGCATGCATGAACATACATGCAGAATGCAGCATCTCTATAAAACTGGGATCATGGTTCACTGGGTAACGATGGAGTTATATTGTTTGGCTACTCACATTATTAAAACATGTTCTTGGCATGTATTTCAGGAGAGTTTATACAAATATAAAGGCAGGGAGGGGGAGTGTGCGCCCACCCCGGCCCTCGGTGGGGACCCCCAGGGTAGCGGGCGCTGTGCCAGCCAGCAGCGGAGCAGAGGGGTCCTGGCCCTGATCGAAATAAGCAGAAACTGTAGCAGAGTGGGAAGATATGATGAAATGTCTATCATTCTTAAAGCGGAAATGCTTTCTTCAACAAGGAAAGGCCATTAGATGCCATAAAGGAAAAACGGGCAGATTGAATAGTTGCTAAGCAGCGTGGTCTTTGCAAATATAAGCCGGACTTTGACCACACGGGCCATTTTGCCAGCAAGGAAGAGAGTTTTGGGAAAGTGGTTTGTCTACAGCACAATAACCCAGCAGTTAAAACCCAGTTATGCGACCACATCTCACAGACAGGGAGGCTGAGAAATGTCATTTCCTCCTGGGTAGCCATACGCCCAGCTGAAATTTGGGGGGGAGGGGGTGCCCTGAAGCCTCTAGCACCCCAGGGAGAAGGAAGGACGGCTGTGGGTGACAGGCACTGGGTTTCCACCGCCACTCGAGTCTTTGTCCACCCCAGGAGCCTTGTACAATACTTTCCCTGCAGAGTAAGCTGCTTGTCCATTATGATGGAGAACACTTCCAAGTGACAGACGTCATCTGTTGCAGCCAGCTCCAAGTTCAGGCCGCCTGGGCGATGCAGACTCGGCCCCAGGGGTGCCCGAGTTTCTGGCCTGGTCTGGCGACAGACGCAGAAATAGAGCAGTTGTTTGCCTGCACCTCCAGCCCGTCTGCCCACACAGCAGGGCGCGAGGTCACTGTGAGGACATGCTGACTTTCGGGACAGGGAAGGAGGGGAGACCCCAGCAGTCCTGGGCCCACCGCAGTGACGGAATCCCGTGGGACACGAGTGGCAGAGACTGTCCCATAGATTCCTCGATCGGCCACCCGTCCTGCTCGTGGAGAATAACTCCTGTGTCTGTTCCTAAGCTCGGCCCCCGGGTCACCGTTCTTAGTGACCACAAAGAAACAGAAATTGGAGTAGATGACTTCCGGCCACTTCGACCAAAATTATGCTGGACCCTTTCTTTGATTTATGCAAATGAAGGTTATTATCTGGTTGAATAGTTTATCATATTCCTCTCCTTGTGTCAGTCATTCATATTGATTAAATTGGTATCTTTTTCGTGAAAAAGGTACCGCATTTACTTTTTCTCTAACAAGGAATTCCATGATTATGAGACACTAACTTCTCAACATGAGACAACGATTTTCAACCTAGCAGATCAAATGCCTCCTTTTTACACTAAATATTTTGTAATGCCTCCTTACTAACCTGCAGTGAAATTCAGATCATGTAGCCATCCATACAAATATACTTCATGTAATTAATATAATACCCTAATTATAATATGAAAAAGAAACCGAAGGGATGACGCATAGTAAAGAGGCACGTATTTCAATATGTAAATGCTCAGGTACGAATACCCAAGGGACACAATGAAAAGAGAGGTGCTTACTGACACTGGTAATATTAGTAATTAGACATCCTCAATTTGTATGAATGACTCACAGTGCTAAACAGCTGTGTTCTCTGATAATTCAGGGTTTACTAAATAGCTTCCACTGAACTGCAGAAAAAAAAGGCATCTGTGAAAATAAGAATGGTTACCTAAATTTTTTCAATCTCTCCTGCCTTCCAGTTCCTCCTGATCACTGTAGTGTCCCATCCAGTGACCCGTGTAACGCAACCCTCCCTCCGCCCTCCCCCCACACGGGCACACACAGTCACTGGGGGGAGGGGTGTGTCCCCGGGCTGAGCAGCTACACCTCCCTCCACTGTGGCCTCACCCTCCCAGCGATGTAATTTCTCATGGTTTTTCATTGTTGAGTTTCAATATGGACCCTGTGGTTACTTTTTTTCGCCATGAGGTAAATCAGATGGGATATTTTTAAACTGTCACACAAGCACGGCTTTTCTCACGGTCTCCGACGAGGAGGATTATGGTTTGTACATTCCAGGAAGGGACAGTTAATAGTTACACGTGGTATTGCGGATGTGGCAATCATATCTTCCAAATGCTCTGGTACAGTTTGGATTTTAAAACACTCTGTCTTATGTCATAAAAAATGCACACTAATTTCCGGTGAAGTGGTTTCTTCCATAGGTCCTCGGTCACAAGGCCTCTCTCCAGGGAGGGTTCGGTTGGGTACTCAGGATGGTTTTTCTTTAGTTTAGTCTATTCCAGTTAGGTCCTGGGAGGAGTACCGCTTCCACTCACTCCTCTGCCGTCTTGGGTTTCCCCTTGTGCACTAATTTCTTAGATCTGATTTATTGCCAAACCTACCTGCACCCACCCCCCGTGCAGAGGAGGCACAAGGAAATGAAACTCTTTGACAAAGCCGCCAGTTTTGTTGAAGGCGGAACTGGAGTTGGGTGCTCCTTCTCTGTCAATTCCTAACTCATGGTCTGCTACTCTCTTGTTTTAAATTTGATTTTTAAATTAGTTTACATTCAATATTATTTTGTTTTAGTTTGAGGTGTGCAGCATCATTGTCAGACAATCAAATACTTTACGAAGTGGTTTCCTAGTATTTCCAGCACCCGCCTGGCACTGTACGTAGTCCACACAGTATTCCTGAGTTTGTGTCCTGTGCTGTAGTAGCCTCTCTTAAGAAACAGTTTTCCTGGGGAAAAAATTACACGTGTAAAATAAGATCTTTAAAATAAGCGTATTTATGTGGTGATGTTTGTAATTTTATTCGTTGTTTTATTTTTCATATTATTTTAAACTATTACCATCCCAAGGTAAATTATTCTAATGTACCTATTTTATTTCAAATAGATCACGTGGTTTGTGAAGAAGAGTTTAAGTACGCCATGTTGGCTTTGAACTGTATATGCCCAGCCACATCTACGCTTATCACACTACTGGTCCATACCTCTAGAGGGCAGTAAGTACATCTTTTCTTTAAGATAGTGCATTTTAAATTATATGTACATATTATAAAAATAAGTGGAGCTGTGCGATTTAGAAATATAGCAAGCCGAGGTGTACAGCTAGACATGTACCTGTACTTGGATTTGTGTGTTAGCTTTGTCTGAAGCAGAGACAGTCAGGCAGGTACAGACCTGTTAACGGGGCCGAGACACAGAGAAACTCCACAGGGATTTGCTGTCTCTCCTAACTGATCTGGAGATCGCCTGTCCCAGCCCCAGCCCTAAGTGTCACTAGTCAGGCCCAGGGTTAAGGCATCGCCTCTCGGTTTGAGATGAGCACTTAGCAAATGAAGCGTTCAAGAACAGGGCGACGGCAGTCGCCAGTGTGGGACCTGAAAGCTAACTTTTTCTACTTCTGAGATACGTTTTTAGTCTTTCTGTCTTAAAGCTATCTATACACAATTGACTTCAAAATTAAAAAAAATTCCCAATGATCACAGAATGATAACAGAATCAGAGATACGATTAGCTAATGTCATGTAAGAAATCGCTTTTGTATGCATTTCAAGGGAGATGGGGGAAGGTCCCGTCATCGGAACACGTTGTTCTCACTGACGAGGCTTCAGTTTCGTGAAACACCGAGGCTGCTGCTGACGCGGGCGGCCACGGAAGATGTGGTCAGGGCGCACGCTCCCCCCTCCGCATTTGGAGGGGAGACACCGCGCATTTCCTACCGTGTCCTATTCTTCATTGCATTACAGACAAAAAGTTGATTTTCTAAGGAAACTTCACTGTGGTTTTGTGGTTCTGATTATTTAAATTAATTGATAGCTATTTAAGTGATGTGCCAAGTTGAATTTATCAAGGAAAAGGAAAATTCTTTCTTGGAACTTAGATGGGATAAATTGGTCATTGAAAATCAGTAAATGCCTTGCGGTATTTTTAAGCACTTTTTGCTCTTTCCTTGGATTACGCCTGTGCTCTATTGAGATAGTAAGAGTTTCTCAGAGGCAGGTTTACTCAAGTTTGGAATACAAATATTTCTATTCTGTACACTTACAAGCTCTTCTTATCTGTCGATGGGAAGAATAGAATAGGATCGAGGATGTAATTGTCTTTCATTGAAGAAAGTGTATGGATTGCGAATAAGTTGAATAAAAAACTGAAAATTCTTTTGACACCAATGAATTGAACACGCATGGAGCTCATCACACTGTACCTCTGTCACCGAGTCATACGACCTCCAAGATAAATCGTTTCACAACTACACGTCACAGAAGCGTGGTGTCCCCAGGACGACTTTCTTTAGAGCTGCTTCAGTGAGATGTAACTCACATACTCTACAATCCACCACTGAAGTGTAAAACTCAATGTTTTTTTTAACATAGCCCTAGAACTGTGCAGCCGTCACCACTGTCTAACTTGAGTATGTTCCCCACCCCATAAAGGAACGCTCTACTTTTTGGCAGCCTCTACCCTTCCCCCAACTCTTTTAGGCCCAGGCAACCACTGGTTTCCTCTGTCTGTAGATTTTTCCCACTTGGGACATTGTCTACTGCGTATAAATGGGGTCACACAATGTGTGGGGGGGGGTGTGGACCTGTTTCCTTCACTCAGCATACTGTTTCCAAGGCGTGTCCATTCGATAACATGCCCGAGTCCTTTGTTTCTCTTTATGACTAAATAATATTCCATTGTGTGATTACATGGCATTTTAGCTTTCTGTTTGTCAGAGGGTGGATACTGGGGTTGTTGCCAGGATTATAAGGTGCTCTCGCACACTTGACATGCGTGTGATGACTTTTACGTGGACCTTTGCGTGCATTTCCTTTGGGTGTAGATTAGGGGTGGAAGGGCTGGGACACGTGGGAACACTGTTTAGTCCTTTTTAGGAACTGCCAGGATTCTTCCCGAAGAGAGTGTGACCTTACGTGTCCGCACCAGCGATGCACTAAGGTTCCGATTCCTTTGCATCCTCAGTAGTGCTTGTTACTGTCCGGGCTTTTGACGCCACGGTCCTCGTGGACGAAAAGTGGTGTCTGCCTGTGGTTGGGGTCTGCGTTGCACTGACAGCTCATGACTTTGCGCATCTCTTTATGTGTTTCGTGGCAATTTGTGTATCTTCTTTGCAGAAAAGTCTATGCAGATCCTTTGCCCATTTTAAAATCGGGTTATTTGTCTCTGATTATTGAGTGTCAGAGTTTTTACGTATTTTAGGTACAAGTACCGTATCAGATATATACCATCACTGGAATATAGTTAACCCAACAGAAAAGCGCTTAATTTAATGTGTTTAGTGTATTTATGAAGAATATTGTTTGGCTAAAGGAATTTATATCATTTCCCATATTATGCTTTCGTTGAAGATAAAGTCAAGATTCACTTACTGAGAAAACAGGTTTGAAGTTTTGCCCTTGAGCCTCAGCTGGCGTTAGAAGGCTCACACAGGTTGATTTAATAATAAGAGAACAAACTAGACAAGACAAAGGAGAGAGATAAAGCAGTCAAGAACTGGAGGTCAAAGGTCAGCTCTTTTGGCGACAGCTGTCCCTCTGGTCACAGTGACGATGGAGCTCCTGACTCAGACCCAGTGTTGGACCGACCCACTCGGCCGCCACCGCCCACTCCGTAGTCACCTTCCTCTAGTGGAAACGGGGACACAGAGGGAAACCACAGGTTAACGATGAATTGCTTATCTCTGGGTTTTTATGTCAGAGGAGTATTAATGCTTTTTAAACAATTGTATTCCTTAAAAATACAACTTTGGAGTCTACTAATACAGTCAATACAGCTCCCAAGGCTGGTTAACATTCTTAGGATCTTATAATTTCTTTTTTTTTACACGTTTTTGTTTTTTCTTTTTTCTTTTTTTTTAAGATTTTATTTATTTATTTTTAGAGAGGGAAGGGAGGGAGAAAGAGAGAGAGAGAGAGAAACATCAATGTGCGGTTGCTGGGGGCCGTGGCCTGCAACCCAGGCATGTGCCCTGACTGGGAATCGAACCTGCAACGCTTTGGTTCGCAGCCTGTGCTCAATCCACTGAGCCACGCCAGCCAGGGCAGGATCTTATAGTTTCTATCCTATTATTGATTAATATTTCTGTCCCAGTTCTAGTTGGTCTGTAAGTCATAAAGGAACTTCGAGATGATTTCAAGTAACTGTGCTCCTTGGATTCACCGGGAGTTTGTCCTGCCCTCCAGCACTGCACAGCTTCTCCCTTCGTTGGCCTTATTACATGTGGAGGGTTCAGCGCTCTGGCTGTGGTATTTCTGATGGCTAATTAAAGTAGCATTTTGATTTATTGGACGATCTTGCTAGAACGATGAATGTAAGTTTACCGTTTGGATGGTAATTGCTGCAGGACAGTAACCACGGACCAGGGTAATCTGGGCAAAGAAATGCCTAATTATCAGTCTAGTTAATTAATAGACACAAGTGATTCAGCTTGATGACATTTCATCCTTAACAAATTTCATTTCCTTTTTATTTTCCTTTCAATTTACTTTCATAAGAACCTTTTCTTCATTAGTCCATCCAAAAGGTAATACCGTATTTTTCGGGCTATAAGATGCACCCCCCCCCCAAATTTGGGAGGAAATGCAGCGGCGACCCTGCTCGTGCCTTCTGTGACCCTGCTCCACCATAGCCCGCCCCCCGCCCCCCGCCCCCCACCCCACAGCAGGGCAGATGAGCTACATGTGGAGCATAAGACGAACACCCCCCCGCCTCCCAAATTTGGGGGGAGTACATCTTACAGTCTGAAAATACGGTATTTTTGGTCCCAGTGGTCATGGATAGGACAGAGAGAGAACTGAGGAGGAAAATATTGCCAAGTTAGAATTTACAGAACTTGGCCAGGGATACGATCTGAACGCAGTTCTCTTTGAATTGCTTTTGCCAACCATGAAGCCAATACGTTTCTTTCTCCCATTCACGTCTTATCGCTCCACCATTCAGAATCTCCAAAGATGCCCCATCTTAGAGGGACAGCGGGCAACCTTCCCCCAGCGGGGAACACAGAAAAGAGAAAAAAGAAACAAATATTCTCAAACACCAGTGTGGACGCCGGGGAACTAAAAGCTTGCTGTCGGGCAGAAAGGGGGATCGGGAGGAGGAAATGTTTGCTTTCTGACGCGGACGTGAGTGGTGGGGTTGCTGTGATCCTGGGCTCCTGGGCACAAGGGGGGGCATTCAGGTACAAATCCTGGGGGTTGGGAGGAAGGACGACTGAACACTTCCCCCCCGCACCCCCCAGCAATCATTACTTTTAGGAAAGGGTGGAAAAGAGGAAAACAAGTGCAGCGTGGCACTGTGGACTGTCGAGGAGTGAGGCGATGGAAGGGGACCCGGGTGGTCAACAAAGCAGAGGGGTGGGGACGGATGGAGCCCACGGAGGTCACTGGTTCCCAGGGAGTTCTGAGAAGACAGCTCCAGACAGTGGAGACATCCTCATCGTGAGGAAGGACGAGGACAGAGGACATGTCACGGAAGTGTCCTCGGTGTTTTCCACGAAGATAAGAAACACAGTGAACTCTCTGTTGCACAGAAAAGTTGAGAGAAGCTTTTCCTGTGACTGTTTTTTTCATGTGAGCCTGTATGCATTTCTCTATTTTTTTTTGTTTGCTTTTAAAGTTAGATTTGCGGGGTGAGCATCCGAGAGGAGGAGGAGAGAAGGGTGCGGTGAGACAGCGGGGGTGAGACTGGGGACCGCCGGCACCACCTGGTGTGTCCCACGGGCAGGAGGGGTGGCCGAGGGCTCGTGCGCAGCAATGTCGTTGGTCACAAAGCACAGTGTCGCACTAACTGAAAATACGTTCTGCCTCACACAGCAGGACTCAGTGGAGGGGTGGTAGCTATTTGACAGATCCAGGCCGGGGGACCCATGTTCGGAACAGGCCGTCTCGCTCCACAGCGTTATCAGGACACCTGGCCCTTCCCGTTTTCTCCGTCCGGCACCTTCCCCCGCAGACCAGCACCCTTCAGGTTCTCTCTGAACTCACTCGCGCCCTCCGCC